CGAAATTAGTATGTGATGCGTTTGAGATACGTGTCAACCGCTATTTTGTTGAACACGTGGTGGTTCCGCTTCATGCACGAAATTAGTGTGCGTTGTGTATTGAGATACATGCCAACCACTGTTTGGTGAACATGTGGTGGATCCGCTTCATAAACGAATTTAGTGTGTAACTTGTATTGAGATACGTGTCAGACACTAATTTAGTGAACAAATGGTTGATTCGCTTCATGCACGAAATTAGTATGTGACGCATATTGAGATATGTGCCGGACACTATTTCGATGTTATCTTTTTTATTTTTAGTATTATTATTATTAGTAGTAAGAGTTTTCAAATTTAATTCCTCATTTAATATACAAATAATTTTTCAATAGAATCATCAAATTTAATATAGTGAATAAATTAGTATCTATACATAAAATATATAGCTTTTCAAAAATAAATAAATAAACCAAAAATACATAGATAATATCGTCAATTACCATTTATCAACATAGGGCCCAAAAAAATGACCTACCAACTACAAAATACCTATTTTATGCTTAGAATATACATTTTTTTTTACTAAAAGGGTCTCATATTGGATATAAATATATTTGAAGATATTTTAGGGTTATAAATTAGTTTAAAACTAAATAGAAAAATAGATATTTGATTTAATTTGTATTGAATATAATTTTTTTAACTGGAAAATATGGATTTTTTGGTTTTTGTTATGATTTATTTGAATTTTTATTAAACAGTATTTTGAAAATAAAAATATTGTATAATTTTTTTGAAAATTATACGGAACAAATACTAATAATTTTCCTTTGAAACAAAATACAAACAAACCCTATGTGTGTGTTTACTTGTGCAATTTTGATATTTAACAAAATACAAACAAACCCTTTTAGAATAATCTATCATTGTTTTATTTTGTCAATATAGAATTTTCATATTGAAGCTAGTGAATAAATTAATATCTGTGCAACAACGGTAACAAAAGAGTGAGTTTCTTTTACTTTTTTTTTTCTTTTTATTTTAGGTTTAAATTTTGATTTAAATGATATTTTTATGTAATTTTTTGTAAGAGGTAGTAGTGTATTTTTATTAAAAATAAATAAATAAATTAAGAGTTAAATGTAAAAAAAAAAAAAAGGAATATAAATACTTCGATAATATTGCCACGCAATATATATATATATATATCAACATTGGGCACAAGAATATGAGTGTACTGACTACAAAAAAAAGACCTATTCTATGCCTTATATATATCTTTTTTAGCATGACTTGGGTATACGTTGAGGATATTATATATTCGCACGGTGCCGGGGGACAAAAATAACGATTTTCGCAAATGCGTAAAATATATTTTATCAATAAAATAAATAGAAAAGAAAAGTAATAATTGAGTATACATTGAGGGTATTTTTTGCAATTTTTCATAAAATAGTATATAACTACAAAAAAAATCACCTATATTACACCTAATTATAATATATATTTTTATCCTAAAAGGAGATTTTATTCCAACTTTGTCCTTTTCTTTTTCTTTTGTTTATAGCATGGTTTTCTGTTCACTTTGTGTTTTTAGATGAATGTATTGTTAATGTTAGATATAAGAAATTTATTCGATAATATAAAAAATATTATTTTGTATTAAGTTGTTCCTTATGAGTGAATAAAATGTATATATTATAGTAGTACATATTATCTTAGTATATGTATATATTATATTTTTATAATATTTATACGGAATCATGCCACTCAAGAATACAATATCAACTAACCCATAAAATGGAAAAACTATAAGTAATTTTTTTAAAAAAATAAATGCTGAAATTTTGAGATATTCTAAATTAAAAATAATAAGCTAATATAAAAATCTTTAGTATGGAGTAAGGAATACATATTATAAGAAAAAAAAATCCTTATTTAATGATTTATTATTAATTTGACAGTATTGTATAAAGACATTCATTCTTAATTTGATAGTAATAATTTTCTTTTTAATTAAAATAGGTTAGTTGATATAATATAAATATATATTGGGATGATATTTTAAATGTCAAAATTCGTTTTTAAGTATAACATAAAAATAAAAAATAAGAGTTTGATTTCATATTTTAATTTAAATATTTTTTATGTGTTATACATAGCTATTAATATGATATTTTGTGTATAAAAATTATTTTTAGTAGTATAATATAAAAAAAAATAAAAACTAAGAATTAAATTTGATATTTTTGAAGAAAAAATTCAGTGAATAAACTTAATAATGTGTTTTTTGGGATTTGGATTTGAGTATTGATGGTAATTTTTTTCAATTTGAATCATTATTAGATGTTACATGAAAATGTATCAATGTGATATTTTGATATAAAAATAATTTTTAATACAATATAAAAAAATAAAGTCTGATTTGATATTTTTAAGAGAAATTATGTGAATAAACTCTAACGACATGTTTGATTGGATGTTTAAAGTTTGAATATATATATTTTTTAATTTGAATAATTATTTGATACTCCCCCGTTCCTTAAACAATCTATCCATTTTTCCATTTTGGTCCGTCTCATAACAAAGTATCCATTTCATTTTTTTTGTAATTGTACTGTCACCTAACATTACAAATACCCTTCCAATTTACAATATATTACGCAAATGTCATTACCTTTATATCATACAATACTATAGGGTAAATTTATTTGTACTTTATCCCAATATAATACTAATATTTCTAAAATTCCATGTAAAAAATAAATGGATATATAGATATGAGACGGAGGGAGTATTATATAAATATTAATTGATCTGATAATTTTAATGTAAACTTATTTATTAATATAATATAAAAAATGGAACTTTTATTTGTGATATTTTTAAAAGAAAAAAAATCGTTGAATAGTAAAAATTTTGGGTAAATCTAATAAAACACATTTTTTTTAATTTATATTTGGAATAAATATTTTGTTATAAGTAATTTAAATTATTTTTCTAAAAAAGATAGTATTATTAATACAAATATTATTTATACCAAAATTATTTAATATCTATTTCACTCAAAATATTAAATAAATTAATATAGTTTACTCTATTACAACTCTTATATCAACTAAATTAAATATAATTAAGTTTCTAATACGTATATTCTTAATAATTGTGCCCAAAAGAAAGTAGCATAATCGTATGGGACGGAGGGAGTAAAAAACAAACTGAAATGGAATGCAAAATGACTAAATCTAAACCTTTTAAAAATAAAAGTAAAATATATAGCTTTGTTACCATGATTTGACCCAATTAGATCATATCCGTAAAGAAAATAGCAAATATTGATATAAGATATTTTATATAAGATATACTCCCTCCGTCCTATATTTATTTATCAATTTATTTTTTGCACGGAGTTTAGAAATATTAGTATTATATTGGAATGCAGTAGAAATAAAAGTAAAAAGACTAAAGTAACTTTATTATTATTATTATTATTGTATGATATAAAAGTAATGAAATTTGTATAATACATTATAAATTGGAATGATATTTGTAATGTTAGGTAGAGAGTATAATTACTAAAAAAAAAAAAAAAGAAATGAATACTTTGTTATGAGACAAACCAAAATGAAAAAAATGGATAGATGATTAAGGTAGAGTATTTGAAAAGCATGTTATATAATTAGATGTAGTAAAATATATTATAAATTCAACAAAATATATTATGATTTCAGCATAATAGTAATTTAATCTCATAAGCAAATGTCTATATATATAAAAAAAAGGCAAATATTAATATAATATATAACACATTAATAGCACAACATATTATCTTCCTTGTGAAGATTTGATAATTATTTAAAATTAATATAACTTGACAATATGTTATCCGGGTATGATGATTTGCTTATTATATCATGTTAGTTTGTCCATTTAGTCTAATCAGCACCCTAATATATTTTTCATGTAAAGACAAAAATGCATGATAATTAATATCGCCACATACTATTTCTTAATACGGGGCACGAGAAAATTGAGTGTACCAACTACAAAAAAGAAACAAAAATAAGGCCCTGTTTTTTGCCTAATGTATATCTTTTTAACCTATAAAGAATCATATTTTATTCTAATTCTGTCTTTTTTGGTTTGCTTGATTTGCTCTCTGCGCGACTTTTTAAATGCATTTTGTTTGTAAAAGTAAATATATTTTTTCTTTAAACAAAACTGCTTTGATAATATCGCCACACACTATTTATCAATACAAGGCACGAGAAACTAAATGTACCAACTACAAAAAAGGCATATTTTATGCATAACATATATCTTTTTAACCTAAAAAAACTCGTATTTTATTCTAACTATGTACTTTTTGTTTTTTTTTTTTTTTTGTTTGCTTTTACCACGGCTTTTTAAATATCTTTTACATGTAATTGTATTTAGAAAGATACATATAATTTTTTTAAAAAGTTGTTGAAATTTCTAGACATTCGAAATTAAAAATAATAAACTAATCAAAATATTTGAGATTGAGGGAGCAATACATAATATAAGAAAAAATAAAATAAAATCCTCATTATTTAATGATTTCCATTAATTTGATGGTACTATAAATTTAAAAGAATCTATTTTTCTTTCGATACCTATAAATATCATAAACGATCTTGTGAAGTCATTGCAAAAAAAAAAATCATAATCAAACGCCAGAGCTTGCTTTGATATTGGAATACATATGGTTGTAATGTCAAGTTTGAAGTCAAGTATTTAATTCAACCGATGACTTTCTACTATTAATAATACCAAACAATTCAATGGAAAATGAAGGTGTATGTACTTTTAGATTTTTCTTATTTTATTCTTCAATGTTTGTTGCTCCTGTAAAAACACATTGTTTCCATAACATCGATTATTTGTGTCGATGCCAGGTAATATTATCTCACTCATACATTTCAATTACACATCAAGAAATATGATCATTTAATGTTAAATCTATGGATAAGTAATCATTCAAGGAAGCACTTAAATATTATTCGAAACCATAAATTAACATAAACAAAATCACTTGGCGATTGCAATTGCCATTCATATTACAGTCGCATCCAAAATTCACAATTATATTCAAAATATCACTATCAACATACATATTTTCAATTCAAAATTTTCCAAAAATACATCAATCTTGAACCACCAAAACAATCCTAGTGGAGGGAGTTTGGGCAATTTTCGAGATACATTCGAGTAGAAAGTCTGGTTCAGGTTTATACTGATGGAGTAACATCTTTAAGCCTCATGCCTCCATTTTAAGCCCTTCCGACTATTCCACGTCGTAATAGTTCGATAGCATCCAACTGCAACGTGATTATAGCGTCGATTGTGAGTAACAGTGCAAATGAAAACAACAAACTGTAAAAAAAAAAATGCATTCAAGTTTTTTCAATTTTGTTATATTCTATTTCGAGAGTTTATGCAAAATTATGGGCAGGGGAAAGAGAAATAAATTAACAATACACTCACAGGTCCAATCCATGGTTCTTGCTCAACTTCATGTAACTCCATATTCACCTCAAAATAGGATTCACTACGTCGAATCCACACTCTCTCGCCCGCCAATGTTCTGCAAACAGGAAGATCTAATGGCTTAGCATCCAAAAAGTTCAAGCAAATAAATAGTTTTTTCAATGGCAATAATAACTAGAAGGAAGCATAGGAAAAAAGGAAAGCTGTAAATAACTTAGATGCCGAACCTGAAAAGGCTGTTGCCGAACATCATCAATCACCGAGAAAGTTGCTCATGAAAAAGAGAACATAAATCTTCTCGCTGCTCCCGAATACAATTTCTTTTCTTTTTCTGTGTGTGAGCAAGAAGGGCAGGATAAGGTCAATTTATTGAGAGCCAACATCGGACACGTGGCCGAACTGTTTCATGCACGAACCAGAGCCCGACACGTACCCCACTACGTGTCGAGCATTGGTCGATCTTTTTCATGTATAAAGCTAGAGCACGAGCGTGAATTTGATTAACTTTAAATTATCAACCAGTCTTCCTGCAAATGCACTTAGTCCGGCACGAAGATAAAAAATTAATATTTTATTGAAAAAATGATACTAAAAAACTAGTTTAGTTTATTTTTCGAAATTAAAGTAGAAATTAAAGAAAATGAATATATATAATCTAATAAAATAATAACATTTGTTGTAAATGTAGAATGTAATAATTAAATGTTGATTTGTTAACTTTGCCAAAAGGAGTAGTAATTCCTAAAATCAAATTGGCATTGTGTCACACCAGTGGCGGTTACGGTGCTGAAACAGCACGCAATATTATTCCAACGCATGAACTAATATCATTTATATTAATATAATACAAATACAACTCATGAACTAGATATAGTCTCATACATCACATGTAAAAGTTGATTTTAGCATATTTTAAGTATCAACAAAGAGCACATGCTTATATTTCACTCGGGCATGTGTTGTACTTTCTCCATCCCGGTGTAAGACATACAATTATTTTTAGCACAAAATTTAAAAAATAATATTATTTTAATTATAACGGGTAGTTAAAAGTATAGTAAAATTTATTTTGCCCATGTAAAATTAATTATATAATGATAAAGTAGAAGTATTTGTAAACAAAATAAGTCCATAGTTAAAAAAATATCTAATACTTATAAATGAAGATCAGTATGAATGGCTACATGGTATGCCTATTCTGCCCTTCACTTTTCCCCCAAACAACGTTTCTACCCACCTTTCTCACAAGAAGCCCTAAGCCGAACGCCCGAAGAAGACAAAGTGTATTTCCCTTATCCGACGCCGCATTCATCTCCGCTTTCGTTGTTGCTCGTGCATCTCGGTAGTTGTAGGCAAGCACACCTGTTATGAGAAAACAAGAAAGAAAGCAAATAAAGAACACAAAGGTTTTACATGGTTCGGTGACGGTGTGTCAACCTACTTCCACGGGCAGGAACCGGAGAGATTTTATTATATTGATTCAGAGAGTTGCAATCATTGTCAAACGGCTAGGAACCATAGCTATATATTTATAAGCACCCTAAAACATCCTAAACCCTAAGCCCATTTGTTATTAATTAGGATGGACCCAAAAGGAACCCGGCAAATTGAAACAATTTTTTCGCTTTGGTTCTGGGTCGGATAGACCGTTAAATCTAAGTCACGTTTCAACAATCTCCACCTTGACTTGGAGTTTCTCCAACCGCCAAAGGTTACTCAGTATTTCTCTTAGTCGTCTCTTTCCTGCCAAAGGCTCCGAGGGGACTTTACCTCCTGCGAATATTCACCAAGTTCAAGCAGTGCTAGAACTTCTTCATTGGTAGCGCCTTTGTCAAGATATCAGTTGGATTGTATTCTCTGGCTATTTTCTGAATAGAAAACTTGTCTTTCTCCAGAACATTACGGATAAAATTCAACCTTACATCAATATGCTTGGTTCTCTCGTGATACACCAGATTTTTAGCCAAACTCAAAGCACACTGACTATCACAGAAAATAACACCGGTTTCTCTACTTTCAGACCCAAACTCTGCACCAGACCATGTAATCAGATACCCTCCTTAATACGTTCAGTCATTGACATGTATTCCGTCTCAGTCATCAAAAGTGCAACCATAGGTTGTAAAGTAGACTTCCAACTGATTACACATCCAAATGGAGTGTGAAGATAAAGTAAGTCAGTGATCTTCATTTCATCAAGTCACCCCCGTAATCAGAGTGTGCATAGCCAACCAGACCATCACCATGGCCTTTATCATCATATACCAAACAAACATCAGACACTCCATTCAGATATCGCAAGATCCACTTTAGAGCTCCCTAGTGAGCTTTATCTGGATTAGCCATAAACCTGCTTATCACACAAACCGTATAAGCGAGATCCGGTCTCGTACATACCATCACATGCATAAGACTTCTAACTACACTTGAATATTGAACCGTCTTCATGTAGCTAACCTCTTCATATGTAGCTGGTATAGTGCTTCGATAAAGTTTAAAGTGTGCCACCAAATGGGTACTTACCGGTTTGGATTGATCAACATAGAATGCCTGCAAAACTTTCTCAATATAATTTTCTTGAGAAACCCAGAGCTGCCCTGCTTCTCTATCACGCGAGATTTCCATACCCAATATTTTCTTTGTCGTACCCAGATCCTTGATCTCAAACTCACCTTTTACTAAAGCATTCAAGTCATTAATTACAACCATATATTTAGCTACAATTAATATATTATCCACATACAAAAACAGATACACAAAGGAATCACTAGAAACTTTCTTCGAGTAAATACAATTATCAAACTGATTACGAGTATAACCATAATACACCATGAAAGAATCAAATCTCTTGTACCATTGCCTTGGAGACTGCTTCAAGTCATATAGAGATTTTTTTAACAAGCATACCTGGTCCTTTTTAGAATTGTCCAACTCCTCCGGTTGAAACATGTAAATCCGTTCTTCTAAATTACCATGAAGGAATGTTGTTTTTACATCAAACTGCTCCAACTCCAGATCAAAAGCACCCACCATTGCCAAAAGAACCAGATGGTTTTATGTTTCACCACAGGAGAAAAGAGATAGTCAATTCTTCCTTCTATCAGAACCCTTTTGCCACCAATCTCGCCTTGAACCTAGCAGGTTCAACACCAGGAATTCCCTCCTATCTTTTAAGACCCACTTGCATCGCACTGGCTTCACCATTTTGGTAGTGCAACGAGATCCCAAGTCTTGTTTTTTTCAAGAAATTGCATCTCTTCATTCATTGCTATTTTTTTATCCAATTTTCTACATCTTTACTCGTCACAACTTCTTTAAATGTCTTTGGCTCATCAGAGCCAAGATAATCATCAACCGCCAATGCATAAGCCACAAAATCCATGTCACATGTATTCACACATCCTGCAAACCTAGCTGGTTTCTGAATATTTTTCTTTCCCTTTTTAACTGCTATAGAATCTTCAACCCTAGTACCAGTGTCATCAGTTTCCTCCCCAACCGGTTCTCCTTGAGGTTTTGACTAATCTGGTTCATCAAATTGAACAATAGTATTATCCCGCTGCTCTTCCTCTAATAAAACTTTGCCAGGAGTCTCAGACTCCACCTTCTGGTTAGCACCACAATCTTTTGTACCTGCAATAATTTCACAACCTCTACTTTGATCAAGCATAGCAGATCCATCAAAGGTTACATCTCTGGTAATAAGAAATTCACAAGGATTTTTACCTTCTGTACACCACAGTTGATAACCTTTGAATCCTGTTGCATACCCTAGAAATATACATTTTACCGCCCTCAGCTCCATCTTACCATCATTCACATGAGCGTATGCAGGGCATCCAAATCTTCTTAGATTAGAGTAATCAAAGGGTTTACCGGACCAAATCTCTTGAGGAGTCTTTACGTCAATTGCAGTTAATGGAGATTTATTAACCAGATAGCTAGCAGTGTTAACTGCTTCAACCCAGAATTGCTTAAATAAGCCAGCAAATATGCGCATGCACCTAGCATGCACCATGAGGGTTTGGTTCATATGCTCTGCAACCCCATTTTGTTGTGGTGTGTGTCGTACAGTGCGGTGTCTCACCATACATTCTTTCTTGCAGAAATCATCAAATGGAGCGTTGCAGAACTTCAATCCATTATCAGTTCTTAGAGTCTTGACCTGTTTACCGTCTGTTTTTCAACCATGGTCTTTCACTTCTTGAACTTCCGAAACACCTCATCTTTAGTGTTCAGAAAGTACAACCAGACTTTTCTTGAATAATCATCGATAAAAGTGACAAAGTAAAACAACCGCCATGCGATTTCACTGGAGAGGGACCCCATAAATATAAATGAACTTACTATAGAATTTCTTTTGAAGTGTGATGACCAATACTTAACCTCACCTTGCGTTGCTTCCCTTTTACACAAGTCTCACATAATTGAATTTTACCTGTCACATCCCCACCAAATAAACCCTGTTTGCTCAACACAGACAACCTTTGCTGACTTCTGTGACCCAATCGACGGTGCTACAAGTTTGTCCTGTCATCATGTTCTGTTCCCATCACTGAACTACCCTGAAGGAAATATATTTCATGCTATAGTTTTCCCTTCATCATCACCAGAGCACATTTCAGAACTTTCACCCACTCACCTTCATCATGATATTTAAAACCATTCTTGGTTAAGGTGCGAAGAGAAATCAAATTCTTTCTGAGTTCAAGAACATACCAGTAGTCAAATTTCCTGACAGTATCGTCATGCAATTATATCTGCACTATCCCGCTCCTCTTTATGGCTAGAATCACATTATCACCTAACTTCACCGTTCCATTCCACTCCTTGAAAGAAGTGAATAGATCACGAAATAACATCATATGGTGAGTAGCACCAGTATCAATAGTCTAGGTATCAGCAGTACTAGCACTACACACTGTCAAAACTTCACCAAGGTCCCCATCATCATAACTGTCTTGTACCACAACAGTCTTTCCACTGTTACTAAACTCAACTTTTGTCTTTCCCTTCTTCTGTGGACAATTCTTTTAATGTGTCCATTCTCCTTGCAAAGATAACACTTAAATTTTCTAGAGGATTTTAATTTTGAATGCAACCTCTCACTCCCATTACCCTTCTCATGTGGTCTTCCCTTACCTGCAAACAGACCTAAACCAGAACCCTCTTTCAGTGAAACCTTTCTTTTCAATTCTTTGGACATAACGGCATCTTTCACATCATTAATACAGACTGTAGTTCTACCATATAGCATAGTATCTAAAAAATTCTTATATGAACCAGGTAGTGAACACAATAAAATTAGGGTTTGATCTTTATCATCTATTTTAATCTC